AGCAGTATGGAGGAATATTGACACGTTTTTATGGACTTTTACTTGACTTTTCTGTCTCGGGCACAATAGACCTCCATTATTTGAATGTCAGCAGACAGCAAGAAGCCTCCCAGATCTCCAGATGCATTTGAGATATCAAAAAAGTACTCCAGAGTGTTGTTCAGCATGGGGGTGAGTAGAAAATGAAGGCTAATCATGTTTTGGGTGTACTATTCCTTTAAGGGGCTGAATGGAAAAAAAATTAAAGCTGCGCTTTTGTTAAACATATATAATTAAGTGCCTTTGCAGATCGGAAATTGCATTATTTTTAAATTGTTGTTGTTAAATTGATTGTTTTGCTAATGCAATTAACAGCCTTACTTAGAGCCGTCTGTAAAACACTGCAATAAAATCACCTCTATGAACTGATCTTTTTTTTTTTTTTTATGCAGAGGGGGAGCGCAGAGGAAGATCATGAGGAGCAACACATGGCGTTTCATCAGTCCTTTCCATATTCTCTGAAGGAACTAGTGTGGGATCAGGGTCATAAGATGAACATGCAGCAATGCTACTGCTACTGTGGAGGACCAGGACAGTGAGTCGCCCTTTACAGGCTGAAAACACTGAAAATAACTTGTTGAATAATTTCCATGTATAATGCTGTTTGTCAGGTTATATTAGCATTGGTAATGTGTGTGTATTTGTGTGTAGTTGGTACCTGAAGATGCTGCAGTGCAACAGATGTCGGCAGTGGTTCCATGAGGATTGCCTACACTGCCTGCAGACTCCACTGTTCAATGGAGATAGGTGCAAACACTTAACTCTAAAGTCTAATGTATGTGACAAGGTTCAGCTGATGTTTATTCATTTTCCTTACAACTTCATACATTTCCTATATCATTTATTTTGTTTAGAGATTTTAATTTTAAAGTTCAAATAGAAAACCACATACTTTTCTAATTTGATGGTATGTGTTGCACTCCCGAAACAGAAAGGACTCCATCTTCGCTTTTGTCAACTTTATTTGCCCCACGCTGGACGTTTTTTTCACTTTTTCTTATTGTTCTCTCTGGAGCAGCCGGGCACGAACACGCAGATAAAACCATCACACTCAAGCCTTCTTCTTCTTCGTTGCAACTCCCGCACTAACATTGACGTAGAGCAGGCATCCCCAAACTCGGTCCTCGAGGGCCGCTGTCCTGCAGGTTTTAGAGGTTTCCCTGCTTTAAAACAGCTGATTATAATGATTGCAGTAGAGCAAAAGCCCGTTAATTAGCTTTCAATTAAAATCAGCTGTGCTGGAGCAAGGAAACCTCTAAAACCTGCAGGACAGCGGCCCTCGAGGACCGAGTTTGGGGATGCCTGACGTAGAGCTTACATCAGATGTGCCTAAACAATAGAATTGACCAAAAAAAAAATAATGGTCACATTAAACAATTCAATAATACAGCGAACAAATGTTATATATTGAAATAAAATATGCTCAGGATGCAACACCTGTACAAAATTAAATAAATCACAAGTGAAAAACTGTCCATCATTTTGTTGTTTATATAAATAATTCTGTAAGATGGCAGACAATGCTAAATTCCTCATTCAGTCACGTGACCCACTGAGGGATGCTGTGACGTCAGTTTAGTCAGGAAGTAGTCATTTTACGTAGCGACTCAATATTTATTCACGTTTTTGATGGACAAATGCGAAGCAATTAGTCACAAGGCTAATTTATGCTTCTGATGCAGAAGCTCTGCACCCGTCATCGTGCACCTAAAAAAAAAAAATCCTGACTACGCGTTGGACGATTGCAAACCCGCGCAGACAAAAAGCAGCTGTGATTGGTCCTTGGTACGCCTTCCCGGCTGTCTGGGTGGTCGTCCTTCTTGATTCGTTGTCAGGGTGCGCCATTTTTAAAAAAACGACTATGGACGACTATGACGAAAGGTTAACCGAGGAGGTCCGCTCCATTAACAGAACCTGTTCCTCTTTGATGTCTAGCAACTCTAGATCTATCTCCGTGACCGTGATATCTTGCAGACGCGCCATTGTTGTTTTGGAAATAAACACTCCCGTCGGCGCCGCCAAAGTTCTTGCAAGTTCTCGATTAGGCTCCCCCTTGCGCTTTGGCAGGAAACTGCTGTGCGTCCTTAGAAATTCCAGACTGACGGTGCAGAAGAATACCAGCTAAACTGGTTTGCAACCAGACACAAGCGAAATTTGATGTGTGTGGCTGCAGAAGTTTAATCCGCCCTTTACGCTACGTTCACACCGCAGGTAGCAAGAGCATCAAAAATATACATGCTGCTTCATTCTTGATGCTTGTACAGTTTAGTTCTGACACGAAAAGTGGGTCTGATGCGTGTTGGGCGGAGCTACCCTCAGGGTTTCAGCGTGTCATTAAAAATCATTAAATTATAATTTTTTTAATTAAGGCCTTAATTGGCATTGAAAATTCATTAAATGTGTTTATCATGACATTTAAAATGCTTTATAAAAAAAAAAACATTTTGTCAAATATATCAGATTTAACTGGTTCCACGTGTTTGCGTGGAACTGCTCCTGGTCGATCGTAAAGCCGTGTGTTCGGAACAGAAGCTCGAAGCTAGAGAATGGGAAAATGCTAATTTGAACATAAGTGGCTGGAAAACGAGAAATTTGGGACATGGCTGCAGCCTGTCGATGGTAAAGATTACGAAGGATTTGGCTGCGTTTTTATATATATATATATATGGTTTTACTGCGCTAGTGGCGCCTGTAAAATTCTCTCGATTTCTGTTACTTGGAGCATTTTTAGCACTATTTAGACCAGCCTCATAGAGAAAAGGGAGGATAATCTACTATCACACACGATAAAACTGCTCTAGACGCACTCCTTTCTATTTGACCTTTAAGCCATTTAGAATGCATCATAGAATTTGAGGATGGTTTTCTGTTTTACTCACCATAAAGGAGGTGGATATGAAGGCTTATGTACCAAACAGTGATAAAAGTTATAAAAATAATTACCTAAATTGTCATTTTTTGTTTCTCCCTGTTTAATATTTATCGCGTGGCGATGCAGTGCAATGCATTTGGATGATACGGCATTTTCTTGTGTCCAGGTTTTACGTCTTCGTGTGCTCAGTGTGCAGCGGTGGAACAGAGTTTATTGAGCGTCTCCCTCTCAGCTGGTGAGTGAATCAAAGTTTTCCTCATGTCTTCCATCACACAGGATTTTCCTTTGGCTCAAAATCTATCAGCCGTCATGACTAACTGTCCACACGTTCAATTAGAATCAGAAATACTTTAATAATCCCAGAGGGAAATTACTTTTGTTACACGCTCCACATATACACATCCAACTATACAATATATTAAAGAATAAAAAGA